CAGAGATAAAGAAGCGCATACAAATTCTAGAAGTCTGGAGATACGCCCTGCACGTGCGCCCTCTTCCAGCCAACATGCCACGTGACGATCAGAGTGGCAGGCACCTTGCGTGGGCGGAGGCACTGGCCCACCACTATGGGAACAAGCACAGTGTCTTTTACGTGGAGGCCTCAGGCCCTTACCATGGGGGATGGTACACAGCAGCAGTCGTCCACCAAAATGCCGCGATGAATGGCCTCACGTTCAGAGCACAGGACATAACATATGCGGAGGAAGTCGCCATCGCACTAGCTGCCTCAGACCTGGACTCGCACGTCATCATTACAGACTAGAGAGGGGTCTGCAGAAATATTCAATGCGGGTATACCCCACACCAGGCGTACCGCATCTTACAAATCAACAATTACGTCGGAGCTCTCGCGTCCCGAAGTATCATATGGGCTCTAGCTAACATGGGTCTCGAAGGCAATGAAACAGCTGACGCCGCCCCCCTCGTACTCACTCTCCGGGTAACGCCTTCATACCCTTCCGAAATGAATCTCGAACACAATCCGGCCTTAACATTTTGAGAGATAACTGAATTCTATAGATTCGGCCATTCACTTTATTCTAAACCCTGTAATGGCATTACAAAGGTGGAGGAGCGTTCATTTCTCCGTCTTTACTCCAAAACAATGCTGTGCCCGGCAGTTTTTAATTATCTCGATCCTGCCTGTACAGCAAAATGCCCGCGCTGTGCGGAGAAGTGTTCAGACATCTTTCCTATGATGTGGGCACGCCAGCCAACCCCTTCCCTTACCGGAAAACCGAACCCGACCCGGGAGAACTAAGAGGCGCCCCTGTTCGGCTGCTTCGACCTGGCGAGCCAGAAGGCCCTGGTAAACCGAGCCCCAGTCGCGTTGGACGCCAATGGGCTTCTGCAATGAGAAGCCCACCTAGTGTCTGTGAGGGGTGACTCACACCGGGCCATCTCCTACATACTCCCTGTATATAAATAGAATAAAGATTTCTCTCTCTCTCTCTCCCTCCCTGAATAAAAATCTCCCCATGCAGTGCTGCAAATGTCGAATTTAGGAACCAGAGTTAAAGGCTGTACACACTTTGCACCGACAAACCTGTGTTGTTCTAAAGGTGGTTGAACCGAGCTTATCTATACTCAGCACACCATTTACGAAATTGTCATATATGACACCTATATAATTTATATGTGGCCACATATAGGTATATATGTCAGCATATTTGGCTTCTGTTTACTCATATATGGATGTATATCTGACGGGGTCGATTCATATAAGGGGTCAATGACAGCCATTTACGTATAGCGTGGTTTACCTATATAACGGGTCTTATCTGACCTTATGAAACATGGCAACACCATATATACAATATGAAGGTTATCCTTATATGTGTAAGTGCTTTGTTATATGGGATGAACAACGTATATGTATATTCCACACTCACTAACTCTTATGCTGATTATCATGTCTAACACTCCGTACAGAAAGGTAACCTGCTTATTTCCTATGCCAACAAGGGTATTAGGTATATATATTGTTTTTTTTTTTGCAGCGGCAATCACAAAAGACAAACTTGCAATTCAGCTTTGTGTGCATGGTAGTTGCATTGGTGTAGTCTAACTTGTAACACGTTTTCTGTGGAATTCAGGTTTTCAACAATAAGTTGAAATTATTCTGACGTCATGATGGTATAAGAGAGCAGACATGTTTTAGAAGGGTTGAACCCTCTCAGCTCACAAAACGCATTAAGACGCCCGAAGCGCACTAATACAATCAAGGAATCCTATAGAGTTTTTTATAAAAAATGTCATGCATGCAATATATATTGTTCGCATTATAGCTTAGTTTCGAGGGGAATGTAACAAGAAATAGCAGTTTAAGTGCATGTTTAGCTTGCATGTCGGTGGACAAAATCGCTGATTATTCGCAGATTCTGATGAAAACTTGATCCCTTCATTTAATGAGATTTCTGTTAATCTTGTTTACCACCTTATGCAACTGCTTTCAGCTGCCATTTAAAACATTTTCTGAACATTTTGACGTTTTAGGGAGTATTTTTGAAAGAAAAAGAACGAATGCCAGTTTAACTCGAAGCCTTGACTATTCCTAAATTCAAGATTGAAGTTGTACTGATTGCCCTGCCGGGATAGCGGCATTTTCGATGAAGGCGGAAATGTTGTAGGCCTATGTTCTCAAGTTTGGGTACACATTAAAGAACCCCATGTGGTCAAAATTTCCGGAGCCCTTCACTACGGCGTCTCTCATAATCATATTGTGGTTTCGGGACGTTAAACCCCACAAATCAAACCAAAGGTGTACTGATTATTGCAAAAATAGACCTTGCGTTTACATTGACTACGTAGAACGTTTTTGGCTGTGCACATTGTAAACTTATCATAAATTTTAAGAGTGTACTAGAAAAGAATTTATTTGACGTAGTTTTTGAAAGCGTAAATTATTTCATACGTCATGCACACCTATGAGCATGCGTTGAAAAAGGGTTCAACTGACTCACTAATGATTCATATTTCATTGACAAAGTATTCCAAGCTGAAGCGTTATAAAAAGCAACCTTTACCGTAGGCTGCCGAATTCACAACACTTCTGTTTTTGTGTTGGGGTGCCATTACTTTGTCGAGATCGCTAATGTGCACGCACATGCCTCACAAGGATTAGCCTAAACATTACATAATAATGCAATTACTATGGCACGTTTTTGCGAAATAGGGCTGGCATGATACCTTAGCCAATCTCTATATAATGTATAAAGCCCTCCGCGGAGCAGCCACATATTGAAGGGGTCATTGAACTGTGGGGTTTATTGTCCCAAAACTACCATATGATTATGAGAGACACCGTAGTGGAGGGCTCCGGAAATTTCGACCACCTGGGGTTCCTTAACGCGCACTCAAATCTGAACACATGGGCCTACAATATATCCGCCTGCAGCGAAAATGCAGCCGCCGCCGCAGGGATTTGAACCCGTGACCCTCGTAGTCAGCAGCCGACAACCTTATCATATTAAATGGGTCATGACACCCAAGCCTAAACTATAATCTGTGCAGTGTGGGTTGATTGTCGAACGTTCACAGACAAGCTAGTGAAAGTTGAGCTAATTGGGTCAAGCCGCTCATTTATAATCGATTATTTTGATGAACGAGCGAGCAGTGTGAGAGTTGGTCAACATTGGTGCACTCGCTAGCGGTGATGTCACGAACCGCTTGCTGGGCAAGCTGTTGCATGGTATGCATTCCGGAGGACGATTGTGTTGTGTGGACTGCTGTGCTTGTAATCGAACTATTCCTGCATTGATCAACTTGCCACTGCAACTAAATGACTTCTAGAGGCGAAAAAAAAAAACGTCACCGCGTCACCCATTTAGCGCTGATACTTGCCGCAAGCGATTTCTGATGTCACAAAGTGTCCAGTGAATGTGCAATACGTACGCCGATTGCCACTACGGATAAATATTTATTAAAACACCTCACAAGCATTGTCATGGTTGAGCGTCAGACTTAGTATTTTTTATCACCACAACCGGAAGCATTCATCCGAGCTCTAGCAAAAATTCTGCCAAAACGCATATCGTGAGTCCTCGTAGCGCCACAATATTATGTCCTTCGCTTCGACTTATGTTTGCGTATGCCGCACGCATCAAGAAAAAAAATATCGCAAAAATATCGCAATCGCAACGCGCAGAATGGCTATGACAACCTCATTATTATGTTCAGCACTGAAAGCCGTGTATGCATGTATTCTGGTCAACGAAAATCTGCACGCTTTGCGAATTCAATGGCGCTAATTGATTGATTTGATTGATTGATATGTAGGGTTTAACGTCCCAAAACCATCATATGATTATGAGAGACGCCGTAGTCGAGGACTCCGGAAATTTCGACAACCTGGGGTTCTTTAACGTGCACTCAAATCTGAGCACACGGGCCTACAGCATTTCCGCCTCCATCAGAAATGCAGCCGCCACAGCCAGGATTCGAACCCGCGACCTGCGGGTCAGCAGCCGAGTACCTTAGCCACCAGACCACCGTGGCGGGGCTCAATGGCGCTAAGTAACACTTGCTCGCGAAAATAGCGTCGACGAACTACCGTATCCCAAGCTCGCTTTTCGACCTGACGCGATTCAAATAAAAGTGCTTATTTATATTTGAATGATTGTTTTCCAGTTACAAACACGTGCAAAAATATTGGTAATAGGAAGTGAGTGAGGGAAACTTACCTTTATTTTTATTTTATTTTGTAATACCCTCCGGGCCCAAGGCATTATGGAGGTGGGTGAAACACAACTTTTTACACTTGCAAGATTAGCTGATAATAAAAAAAATAAAAACATACAAAAACAATCCTTACGAAAAGCCGTATGTACCGACTGCCACTACAGCGAGGACGTTGGCAACTTGAATCCTTCCGTCTTCGACGCTTTTTTCGTCACTTGAGCTGGCGGTAGGTGGTATACACGACGTCGTATCCGCATATGGTGATGGTACCGGTAACACATTGTAGCACTTGGAACCCACTGACACGTGTGGACCACGCAGCCCGCAAAACTCGCAACACTACCCGTGTGCGAAGGTGGGTGTTTTGTAGCAGTGGCCGATTAACAAACTGCTATTCCATGTTCCTTATTTCGTTTTGGCCCCCAATGGCGCTTCCTTATTCGTCATTGGACCTGTCAGACAAATGACGAGCCAGAAGCCCAAATAGTGATTACGTCACAATTTCAAGCGCGTGCTCAATATGCAAAAGTAAACGCTTTCTCAGTGGTCGTTGAATCTGCCAATCAAGTGAGGATTTGGAAGCCCAAATCGTGGTGACGTGAAAATGACGGCAATGCGCTTAATATGGAAAAATAAACGAAATCGGTTCCGCGGTACTGCGAAACAGCCAGCGAGTGAGCCCTTCGCAAACAGAATAGGAAAAATTGCAGTGCCGACTGAGCCAGCGACCTTCGCTGTAACATTTGGCTACATGAACGTGGCCTGCAACAAGCACCGCAGGGATGTTGAGGTCGCATTTGACATGCCAGACGAACAGTTTGGGCGTTCTTTCCGCCTGAGTGAAGCAACGGTGTTGCGATTGCGGTCGAACTCGCCGATAGACTCCAGGCTGCGCTCTCTGGGTGGAGCGGCAAAAGTGTGCTTCCTACGTTTCTTCGCCACCGGATCCTTCCAGTCGTCGGTGAAAGGTGAGGAGACCGTAGCGGTGATGCAGCCCACGGTCAGCATCTGTGTGCGACGTGTGTCTCGAGAAATCGTCAACGCCATGACCCGCAACAATCGGGTTCACTTCCGCAGAACGGTAGAGGAAGAGGCAACCGTGAAGGAGGAATTCCTTCGGTTTGGACCCGTACCCGGCGTGATCGAATGCGTTGACGGCAGATTCGTCGCATCGAGGAGTGACAAAAGGTGACCTTCTGGCGCTGCGAGGTTATTTTGCTGTGTACGTCATGTTGGTAAGCAGCAATGTTTCCGTTTTCTCGTGCGCAATTTTTTTGTCACAGTGAAACGTGACTCACATTGCTCTTGGTAATCTAAGATTTGCGTTGTGGACATGCCGATCCTCGCCATAGACCCACTGCGACCAGGATCGAACGAAGACAGCCACATCTGCGTGGGTTTGCGAATCTGACTGGCGAGTACATTCACAGTGAGAAGTAATTATAGCCTCTACCTCTTTACGTGTGATGTCAGTTTCTTGTACATCAAAGGATTTCCTCCTGGTATTGATAATACTTCAGCGCACAAGTGGCATTATGTCGCGTGCTACCGGTGCACAATTTCTCAGCTGTGGCTTAACTGCTGTGGTATGGTCAATTGATGTGCTATGTCATGAAAACCTCATCCTAGTAGCCATGGTTTGCATAATATGGGGTTCATCTCAGGCTGGTCAGGTACCACGGATTTAGTTGGTTGTGTCCTAGGCTCAATGAGCCTCAACAGATCATGGTCATTTTAGCAGTATTTACAACTCAATTCATATTTCTCCAGATGACGATGGCTACCCCTTCGAGCACTAGCTTGTGGTCGGGGTGAAAGGTCGTCCCAGCATGGATAGTGCTGAAGTCAAGTACAACCCTGCACATGCTTTATTGCTTTCCCCAGTGGAGCATTGTATTGGGCTACTGAAGAGCCGTTTTCGCTATATTCAGTGGCAGTGTATACCCGAATATTGACCGGAACGTTCTTCGAAATTGTTGCTGCACGTACTGTGTTGCACAAACTTTGTTTTTGAAGGTGACATAGGCTTTGACAGTCTCGGCGACGACAGTAGTGACGAGAACAGCGAGCACGGCAGCTCTCTCGATAATGACCTCCTACCTCGGTTTAGACAGGGAAGATCAGCACATTGAGTGTACTTGCGTGGGCAAGCTGTCCGAAACTGTGTTGTCAGTTTGTTTGGCACGACAGGCCAGCAACACCTGCAGTCCCCAACAAGAATGCCTAGGGAACTCCACCGCCTGTAACAACCAGAGCAGTGTTAAAATATTTGTGCTGCATTGCAAGAGCTTGACCATCCGTAGTTGTTTCACATCTACCTACTAAGAAGTAAACCGATGTTTCAGCATTTATCCCTCTGGTGCTCTCGCAACTACTGCTGTAAGCAGTAATGGGAGACACGTCCCTAAGTCTAGTAGCGTGACATCTTACGTGATCAGCTGCCATGGTGTTTCTAGAAACTTGGCAAGGAATTATGAAGCAGCAACATAGTCTAGCCCACTCACTGGGAAGGAATCATTTCGGTAAAGTTGTATTGTAAATAAAACAATTGCCTGGCTTCTATGAACTGAAACCACGGTATGAATACGAAGCACACTTAACTTCAGGTCTTTCGAAAAGTCGAACACCTCAGGTTTTTAATGTGCACGTAAATTCTACGCATGCCTCTTGAATTCCACCTCCATCAAAGTACGGCCTCAGCAACTTTGATCCAGCCCGTGTGATCCGGGCACCTAGTCAAGCATTGTAACCACAGTGCACCAGTATAAATCTTGTCGCTGCTGTCATCCCGCAGCCGCCGACGATTGTTACCGTCGTCTGCTTCATGCCTGCGCACTGTATTCACGCTTCATGTCTACGCAACGCACACATACCACACTCAGTGACCTTCTGTGGCACATCCACCGCACTTCTACTTTAGAATGGGATAACCCATACTGGAACAGATAGTCTAGCATTTCAAGTACACTTTGCTAAGTTGTAAATGCTAAAATGATGGGAAAGAATAGGTACGCGGTCTTTTGTTTTCAAGTCGGAAATTTGTGAAAATTATTTTCATGCTCATGCCAAAGCTAAGATGGCATACACTTTCTGTCAATTATGCATGTTGTGAAACCACAGTGTGATGTTTTCAAAGCAGAGATTTATTACATTGCATACTTTACAAGAAACATGATGCTCAGTGAAACACTGCGTCAAATGGGTAAATAGTACGAGAACGCTATATGTATACATGATGCCAGGCTTGTCTGATGAAATGAAGCCACGTGATATCTGTTGTGCGCGTCGTTTCAGAAGGCTGACGAGCACACGTGAAAATAATATGTGAAGATATCCTTACATGACTGTGAAAAGGTGGATAATTAAACGCCGTTGTGTGCAGCACTTGTATTAAGAAGCTGACTTGCAAGTAAAACAACACAAAAGAAAGAAAAGTTAAAAGGAAAAAAAATGATGATGCCCATTGTTGTTACTGTGGTGATGACAGCGAAGACTGAGGAGTCCCAGGCACAACGACAGCCAGGTTAGCTTAACGCAAGCTCTTCACTCCCTCGTCAAGCTCCAGATTACGGAAACAAATCATGGGATGTATTGCAGACTCTGTAATGCAAAAATATACAGAAAACACGAGTGATGTTCCACCTGTTCGAGCTGGACTGGCAGCGAAACGTGGCATTTGTCATTGATTTGGAAAAGAAAGTTAATTTTCAAGAAAAAAGGCAACTTTTCTTAGCCCATTCATAACACAGCCCAACCACAAGAAGTCAAACAGATTGGTTTCACTTGGTTTTTTCCAAACCTTGGCACAAGCACCTCAATAAAGCATTGTTAAGTATGACCTTGAAGTTCAGCCTTATCTACATAAGCATGTTCTTAATCAATTTATCAGTAGCAGCAGTACACAGCAAATTTGTAGGGAGTACATAACCTATATCGTTGGGATGTTGCACCAATTTCTGCCCACCAATGATGTTTTTTGTTTGTCCTGTCGAAAAGTATGCTCCACCTGTCCATGGCAGGCATTATTTAGTTTATTAGGTCATTTCACTCAGCAGTCATCAAAAGAAGCCATGGATTCTTAACGGTTGTCCAGTAACCATGCAAAAATTTTGTGCCTAGCTAGTTTAGAGACACAACACAACAGTAACAGTGTCTGCAATGCAGACTAACATGTGTGACATGCATTGCAATGACTACTGTAACTCTGATTTTTTGTTCATTGATCATCAATTTTTTTCTGCCAAAATATTGTCCATTTATTTACACATTGATTATATATGTAAAGAGCCGGGGCTTTGAAAATGTTCTACTCTGTAAAGTAACAATGATCATTCTTTGTTATCTTTCTTTACTATGCATCAGTTTGCTGCCGGCGAAAAAAGTATCTTTTCATGCAAATAATGCAAGCCAAATGAATAATAAAGGGATTTCTGAGGTACGCTAAGTAGGCACATCATACTTGTCTCTTGGATCAACCTCCTGGATAACCAAAATGTACCAGAATAGACCAAATAGCTATGTAACCTTCACTTCAAAAACACAGAGCTTCGAACATGATGGCAACTGTAAGCAGGGCTGCGCTCTCAACAGCAATCGTAACTTGCCGACGAAGTCATATTCCTTCTGCTCGATAAGCACAAAAAACAGACCCGCCGCTGCTAGGAAACCCCGCCGAGTGGCTTTGTAAATGTTTTTCCCTTTTTTCTTCCAACTTATTGCCACAGAGCGGTAAAAAACCAATTAACAGCATATATCCCACAAATCATATTGGCCAACTAAAACAAATATATTCATCAAATCGAAGCGTTGAATCATTGCGAATGAAACACCGTTGCTTGCAGATAAACATAAATGTTTTACGAAACAACTTTTTCTGCGAGAGCTAAATTAGGCAATTTTTTACATAAGATGCAGTAGGTTAATACACGAATGCGCACTTCCATGCTGTGTATCGGGTGCTGTAATGACGCTCGCCCACGCATGATTGTTCTTTAAATGAAAAATGGCAGCATATCCACGGAGTGAATGATGGAGAGTTGGGCGAAGCATCCGTTCGTCTATTCATTTTTGCTTTCGTCCGTCCATACGTGCGTCTGTGTGGCCGTCCGTGCGTCCATCCACCCGTCCATGCGTGTGTCTTTTAGTGCATTCATACGTCCATCTATTGGCGGCGGCGTCGCGCAGCTTCACGGAGCGCTTCTGCCTCGCGCGCTCGCACATCGGGATTCTGTCTGCGAGCGCACGCTGCTGCCGCCTTGCGCTCTCTCCGCTGTGCAGCCTTATCCATCCGGCGACTTCGAGCGCGCGCCAACAGTGAACGGATTTTATTACTACGCTCCCCCTAGCGTACGTCGCCGCACTAAATCGAACGATTGCCTTCAACCAATGACACGCGCCATATGTGACATCATTCCTATTTTATAAGATCTCGCGTCTTTCATCAACGACAAGTACCGCTTTCTAGTTTATAACATCTTGCATCTTTTCATCATCAGCTACAAGTACCACCATCTAGTAAACACTACAAGAACTAAACGAGAGGTGACTACATACAGAAGACGGTACCGCCATCTAGTGAACACTGCAAGAACTAAACTAGAGGTGGCTACAAACAGGGGACGGTACCGCCATCTAGTGAACACTGCAAGAACTAAACTAGAGGTGGCTACATACAGGCTACAGGGGACGCCAGCCCACGCCCTAAGGAGCTTCGCCCTTAAAAGCGTTGCTTACCTGTCAATAGACAACAAAAGTGCAGGCTTCTCTAGTTTACACTTTGTTGTTTGTTGCCTGTAAGAGCAGAAGCGAAGGAAATACACCGCAACTGCTGTATGCTTGGGTTTGTTTACTCACTTACGGTAACATTTTTCATAGTCTCTTCTTGCTCTTCCCCGCTAGCCATATCTTTCAGATATACCCCGGTTGTCGCGAGTACATTGTTCTCGCAGATATATTTGCCACGGAACAGCTGATCGCCCAGACGATCAGCTGTTTTTTTTTCACTTTACACGAAACAGCCATTATGTGACTTGGACTGGATGCAAAAAACGACGAACATGTGGCTTCGAATCTCAAAGCACGAAAGTTTATCATTTACTTTGCTAGAAACCTCTAAATCAAATATCTTTTAATTTACGTAGGACGGTTTTTATTGTTACAAGCTCACGAATAAAATAAGTAAATTATACGACC